GTATAATTAGAACGCGAGTAGTTCGTTAGATACTATTTTAAACTTACTAAGTCTAAGATTTATCCTGGGTCTGGTAAGAGGGGGGGTCAAGTGAAGGATGAATAACCGAAGTTCTTCACTGTTTATCCTAATTTGAATGATTAGTTTTGTTTAAAAATTTCTATTAGTCCTGGGTTTTTAGAAAGGGTTGGATAGTGAATCGACGTTTGAGGTCGTTAGACACTAATTAAGTGGGTGGGGGAGAACAAAGTTGTTCTGTTTGATCCAAGGATAAGCCTTGACGATCAAGTTTGAAATTTAATTAAGTAGAAAATGATTTAAGATCCAAGGATAAGCCTTGATGATCTGATTTTAAATTAAGTGACTTTAAGTTTTAATAAAGTTTTAAATTTGTGTAAAGGAAAGATTTAGTGTTTTATGATGTTAGTGAGTTGATGATTGCTGTTATGTTTTAGGTGATGAAGCTGGAACAACAGGATGATTTATGATTACTAACCATTTATTGTCATGCTACTAATTTTTATTTTTATTTTCCAATAAATATTTTTCAAACATGTTTTGTATAATACTGCAGAGTTTTAGGAAAACGATCTTAGATCTTTTTATCAATCGTTATTGTATATTAATAATTTTGTTTAGCGCCTGAAATGATTTTGAAGAGTAACTTCAAGGTTTTATGTTTGCAAATGGAAATCTAAATTCATTGCAAGTAATATTCGAAATATAAAAGTTTGTTCTGGCTTTTGCCGAACTATCATATAACTATACGGCAAGTTTCTACTTTGTCGTATGTCGTCTTTGGTTCGAGGTCTTCTTCCAATTCCGGGTAGTTCTGTTATGGTTCGGAATATTGGCTCTGATCTATTGAGTCGGAGAGACATTTCAATTAAATTATTGTCGTATAACATTTTGTAAATGTTTTTGTCTAATTTCTAATCTATTTTGGTTAATTCTAATCTAGTAAGGTCTTGTTCGAGACTTATGGTCGCACCAGATGAGTTAGGACTGGAGTGTATAACTCATAGAGTAATTTCGGATAGGGTACACCGTCTGCTCGTCACGCTATCTTATTTTCGGCCGGATAGATTCGTGCAACTTCTTAGTCTAATACCGATCCTAATCTTACTCTTATACTATCTAGTCTCAGGTTGTTTAACTAGTCTCTGCTAGGCTCAATAGATCTAGGGTATACTGGTTTATTGCGGCTGCTGAAGTGCTCGGGAGAGTCCAACTAATTTCTAAGTTAAATTCAAATCTCTCTGGTGCTGAAATTACAAGTAACTTCAGCACTTACAAATAAGTGGGTTGTTAGTTAGATGGATCATGATTGGTTAATATTAAATACTTTACATTGGTAAAACATTTAATTTATCCAATCATAAAATATAGTTTAGATCAGGTTCCATATTACAAAACACTACAAAACAAAAAAACCTCAATTATTGCTCAATCAATCGAATAGCGTACTTACCGCTGGTACTACTGATGATTTTTGCTTTCTTTTTTTAATGTGAAGATGACAAAAATTTTAGTCAACAAATCAGACAATTATCTTTTTGTACCCCTATAAAAGTAACAAAAAACTCTGATTGAGACAGTTTAGTGTAGTAAGGTGACATCTAATATTACCTTTTTCAGTTTTTGCTATGTTTGCTTCTTCAAAATCTGCTGCAATTATCCATTTCTGGCCCAATTGTTGCTTAAGCTTGAAAAATTAGCGCTCAATAAAATCAATTATTTTCTAGAAAATTCCCGAAATTCAATTAACTATTTTGGATTTTTCAACTGCACTAGTATTAAAGATAATTTGCGATGTATGTGTAGAGATAGATTTTAGTAGACCGACGAACAGAGCAAACACAAAATTATCAATTGATCTCTGCTTCCAAATTTTTCGCGCAAATCATGCTTCAACTTTTTGATGATTGACAAAAAAACCTTCATGAATATTCAGTGATCAAATGCTTTAGCTGTATCTATTTACTTTCATGCTGTAACCAAATGCTAATAAAAATTGTACATTTGCTTTTTTTTCTTGTACATAATCTAAATATGATAAATCAGATTCGCTTCCATAGATTTGTAAGAAATATATACGGATTTTTATTCGCTTTTGTCAAGTTTATCGATTAAATGATATTTTTGATGTCTTTTTGAAGAGAGAGAGAGAGAGGACTGAGAGACAGACCGCGATCGAGATGTTAATACAGTTGAAATTAACGAACATTAAAAGACTAAACTTTTCATAACATTATTTTAAGCTCAGTAGCATGATGTTTTGACTGTAGTTTAAAAAGAAGTAAGATGATTGTAACAATTTTTTCTCTTTTTGGAATTTTTTCATTATGATCACCAATGTTAACCGACAAAGTCACAACACAAACAAAGATAGGCGGTTGCTGTGCAAGTGTCACCGAATACCGAATGTTTCGACATCAACCTTGGAATTGTACAAAAAGTGTTTTTTTTTCTTCAACAAAGTGTCTATATTAGTGCTTGGTGACCAAAAGTTTTAAAAGCGCTAAGACAATTAGTGAATCGGACATAATTTTTAACATATGTTTTCAAAAATGAATGACAAACAGAATCTTTTCAGCACAAAAACTTTCCTAGCTTTTTAGAAATATTTTGATGCTAAGGAAGCGCTAGTAGAAGCTCACTAACTACATTTTTTTCAGTAAAACCAAATTTTTAGCCTAATTATCCTAAAATGAACAAAACTGGACCACTCTTTTTTGCTCGAAATTAGACTACAACTTAAAAAATTTTACAGCTCTTAACACATCCCAACATTTTTTTGTTTTCTGATTTTGCATGGAAAACAAGAAAAAACATGCAAAACAAAGAACTAAATTAAGTCCGAATATAAATTTGCTCCCATTTTCAAAGGCCAGAATATTTAATTAACTGATGCCGTCTGAAATAATAGAGTTACTGTCATATCAGGTGGATAGTTTTTCTTGAACCAATAACACACAAATAAAAGAAGTTGAACTCAAACTTATACTCAATCAATACTTTAACTCAAACTTATACTGTATCAAACTTATACTGTATGAAGTTTAACTTATACTGTAATAAGTTTGACTCAAATGTATACGGTGTCAGCTCCTAATGACAAATTACATAGGTTTTTTCAAATGAGAAATAAAAATGAATTCATCCTGCATCGATCATATGATAATGAACCTCTAGAGTAATCTTATCACCTGCAAGTTTCTCAACAAATTTTAATTGTCCCTTGTTCATTTTGTACGTACAGGCACTGTCACTCAGTAACAGATTTAGATAGGGGGCGTGGGACGCCCCGTTATCTCTGGGACTCGACCGGCTGCCGACCCGAAGGGTCCTTCCTTTGAACTGTTTTTAGATACCCATTCTTGGCTGACTCACCATAAATTTTTTTAAAGGGGCTTTTGGAGTCAATTTATCCGAAATTTGAGGGGGCAGCACGCGCCGAAAAAACACAATTGATTGATCAAAAGTTTCCAATTAAGCCTTGAAACCTATAAAATGCTTTCTTAGCCTGTTTTTTGAAAAATTTGACAGAGCTCAGAAAAAATCAATTTGGTCGACTTAAAAAAATAGGTAGACAAAAAGCTGTCAGTAAACACGCACTTTTTGTCGAATAGGTGATAAATTACAGTAGTGACCCTCTGGGAAGTTATGATCCTTCTAGTTGTCCTCATGAAACCCCCACTAGCTTCGCTGAAAACAGGATTTTCTAGCTATGATACGACTAACCATCTAATGGGTTACTGCTACAATCGATGCCTTGTCCAATGAAGTTCACCATTTCAGCAGTTACTCGATCATGTCCTTCTTGTTCGTCCAAAACTGAATAAAATTTATCAGAGCCACTACAATGGAACAAATTAACAATTTCAATCATAAAATCAAGGAACATTGATCATTGGTTAACAGAGACGTTCAAAGTTTTTCGAAAATCTAAGTACCGGGGAGCCCATTAACTTGAAATGACAACGAAAATGTTTTTTTTTTCGATTTCTAGATCTCAACCATAATCTATACTATAAAAGCATAAAAACAGAGAAATTTCTAGTGCAAAACAATCTGTATTTTTTCTGACTTAAGGTACCCGAAACAAGCTCTTGCAGCCCAATGGCGTCCTCCCAATCTATAGTTTTGTAAATGAGTGAATAAAGAACCGTGTGATTATAATGATATTATTAGTTTGGAAACAACTTGTTTTTATGATTATTATTATTATCAGCTCGGCCTATGTAGGTTGGTTCAGTAGATTTTAACACGCGCCGCCTACTGAGGTTCAGGTGCTCAGTTTATGTTTTGTCCGTTTCTTCCAAAATTCGGTATGTTTCCATTTTCTCGACTAAAGTTTGTCATGATTTTTCTCATGTCTCGACCTCTCAAACGTTTCTTTTTTGTACAACCCAGCATAGAAAGGTTCCTTTTATCTCGACCAAAAATGGGTATACTTTTCTGCCTTGGTCTCAACTAGAATCTGCTTCTCGACTGCATACTTTCAGCCGAATACTGCGCCTCGCGACATTCAAAGTCGGAAAAAGTTGAGCAACTTGACCTGGTTACCTTCACGCCTCTGCCTGTTCTAGGTTAAAAAGTTTTTCATAACTTTTCATAAGAACTATATGCCATCCCGCGCGTGATCTTCACTGAATTAGAGATCATTTCGCATCTATACAAGAAGTGTTACTTGAGAATTGACTAAGTCTTGACGGGAGCATTGAGTTTTGACGAGAGTCCTGTCTATAAGTGATCATGATGAGGGTACAAGGGGGTTTTAACGTAAAGTAAGAATCATTTAAAAAAATAATTTAGGTGCTAATTATTGATCCAATTTACACAGTTCTAAAACATACCAACTGCATGAAGTTGAAGTGGATTGACGTCCAAGTAATGCACGTAAATTCAATGCTTTCCCCCAATGGAGCAAGCATCTGACTGACTAATGAGAGCAGATCTTTTTATCAAAATTGAATAAAACCTTTTAATCTTTTCAGCTGGGGCTATTTCAATATGAGGAAGTTGACACGTCTAAAACAAAGATCTGTTTTCAGATTGAAGTTGGAAAATCAACAGAAAAGAGCAGAAATGCGAAACTGTCAGACCCGAATTGCAGAAGCATTAGTAAGGACCCTAAGCTTCACATAGTTGAGAACAAAAGAAGCGAACATTCTTGATTGATAACATTTGGCTAAGATACTTGAGTGGTAACTTCTGGGTTGGTACTCTTGAGCGGTAATGAAGGTTCGGAATTTCTTGAGTGTTTTGTTTTTCTGATCATGGCTGATCGTTTCTGGAAGTCAGTGCCAGCGGCACTAAAGAAGCCGAGACTTGATGAAATGTAACAGCCGCTAACGGATCTGGATGACTCTCAAGTGGATGAGCGGATGGCTGTGATGTTGATAGCCATCTTGCTACTAGAGTATCAAGGAGAGTCGTTAATGGAGACGCGTTTGATATGGGGCTAAACGTGCGACGGAATCTAGAACCATGAATAGACCAGATAGCTGTCGTGGAGAACTAAAGGAGGCTTGAGGGGTTTTGGTTTAGCAAGAAGTTCCGGCTTGAGCAACACCACTGATTATTCCTCTTCCCACTCGGCCAAATATGAACATGGAAAGTCGAATGACCGCCGTAAGCACAAACATGATTTGGGAGCAGCAGCCGGAGGCAATTTACCCGGACACTGCCAGGCCGATGAGGGACCTGGAGAGGGTTCAGTGCGAATGGAATCAAGCTATTCCTGAGAGGGTTCAATTGAGATCCGAGCTGGAGTAAGTTCAGAAACTACAACAGGAAGCCGCCACCAGATATCAATTGAAATCCGAGCTGAAGCAAGTCCAGAAACTATGTCAGGAAGCAGCCAAAAGCAAGGATCGAAAGATGAAGACGCAGTTGAATCTCTGATTACGCGTTCAAGAACCGAGTCGAAATTGAAGGTTGACGAGGCGCTCAGAGCAACTGGCCATTCCAACCTCGATAGAATTGCTCAAGTGAAAATGAGTGAAGACCTAGAGAAAAAGATCTCTCCAGAGCTCATATCAACTTGTGAATTCTGGATTCGAGGCAAACCAAGCTGCAGTCAGTGCATGTAGCTCTGCCTGTATTGACGCCCACTTCGACTAGCGGTAGCCAAGGCAGCGCGGGTACATCACGTCTCAAGGAATTGTAAGAGAAACTACAGGAGAGGACGTTCGAAAGCCCAGCGTCAGAAGAGACACCCGCTACCTGGAGGATAGACCCGGTGGTTGGTGCCATCATTTCTAACTACAAGAAAGATTTTAACGCAGCATTTAAGGTATCACAGACATAATAGGGAAAATTGGACGAGCGCCCAGTGGAGAGAAGATCAGCGTTTCACGATGCAGCCCGGGCTGCTTATCTGACGGAGCCGAGAGGTGCTGACTCGATTTCTGCTTTCACAAGAAATGCTAGAGGTAAGGAAAATACACACAGTCATGATGCTGATGGTTTCAAAAAATGTTTCTAGAGCGAGTCTCAGAAATTGCCCCGATTTTCAGACAAAATAAGCTGCTAATACAAGAAATGAGATTTTGACGTTATACACAGTGCCGTATAACATGGAGCTGGAAGACAATGGGCTGAACATGAACGAAAGGGTGCGTCAACCAGCAGCGCGGTATTTGAGGTCCAGCAATCCAGCATTTTGCCCTTACGGTTACTGGTCACTGCGGATGCATGCTCGACTGATGGTATTCATTTTGACCAACTAAAGGGCACATAGTGGCTAAATAAAGATTTTCAGCGAAACTTAGACACTCCAGGATTGGACTAGGTAGAAACGGAATGGCGTTATTTACGTTTGGCTCACCGCCGAAGCCTCTTTTTCCCCAGCCATGCCCGTTGAAGCCAGATTAGGGGAAAGAAGGAACTCGAAGGACAGCTCAGCGAGCAGCAAAAGCAGTCATCAAGGCTCTACATCCCACTAGAGTGAAACCAGAGGCTCATTGACTACACAGAGCTTGGTGGTGTCATAAGTCGTAGTGGCGAAGCGTGGTAACGAGAAGAGAACATCGGATCAATTTCAGTAGGGTTCGCGTAAAGCCAGAAACCGGGAGCAAATAATGAACCTGGATTTGCAGGAATTGGCATTCAGGCAAGAAGAGACGGAGGCCTTGCAACTCAAGAACTTGTCTCATGAGGACTTAGGTAACCATCACTGTAAGGGTTGGCTAAAGGCGCACGAGGCGCATTTCTCTCGAGATAGGACCATAGAGACCGTGAATCTGCCAGGAATCAGAAAATACGGCGGTCTTCGGTCCAATTAATTATCGACTTCTGAGGGGTACTACTGCAGAGCCCGAGTACGATCGAAGAACCACCGAAGAATCGTACAAAGCTGGCCAGGATTACGATGACGATGCTTGCACAGTTGAGAGCAGTGGAAAAACCTCCGGACCGCAGATCATGGGGCTACCCAACACACCCTCTGCGGACCCCGAACAGATGAACGATGCAGGGTATGCAAAATGACGGAAGCGCTGGCCGTCAAAAACCAATCAAACCCTGGAGCCGCAAAACCCAAAATCGTCGCGTGCGTGGATTTCACGAGAATTCCGGAGAAATCTTGTGTAGATTTTTCCCAGGGCGGAACTAAATTAGATGTTGACCTCGGAGGTCGCAATGAAACCAGAGACACCATGTGAGCCTGAGCTATTGTTGGTTGCAGGAACATGAACACCTACACGCAGCAGAACTTCTAGAGCCCTTGGTGCAGGGGAATTGAAACCAAAGAAATTGTATGAGGCAATTCAGACGTCGTTGTCCGCGATGATGGAGATACAAATCATGGTAGCGGTTAGGCTGGCGTCAATGACAAGAGTGGTCCTCACCTCGTTATCTGGATACGCAAGCGTACCGCCTGCCCTTCACATTGTCTATGCTATATTGGCCTTAATATCGGTGGGCAGTGGACTGCGGATGCTGATGGCTGCTCCCAATCGTGAGCTGAATAAAAAGATCTTGAGACTCTTGAAATCTGAACTGGCGGCAGTTTCGGCGGTTTTATCGCACGCCCTGAGATGCTTTCAGGAGTTCGCTGACATCTTGATAATAATGGAGGGTAAGGAGGTCTCGTAACTGGTGAGACACTTGAAACTAAAGCCAGAAAAAAGTGATGATCATCACGTGATCAACCATTTGACTGCTAGCAAGTGGGTCAGAATTTTTGAACTCACCAATTTGAGCTCCAGTAACAATTCAACGAGCCCGGTGCTTGATCGAAAAAACGGGGTCGATGCGGTGAAGCTACATGAGTCGTTTGTATATCGCCTCGCTCGAGAAAGGAGAAGGTGGCCATTTTTGACACCAAAACTGAAAAGTGGGGGGGGGATAAAATCGAAGAAACTGTCCCTCCCTTGATAGTCCAGATCAGCTTGATCAAGCTGAAAGAAGCAAAATTACAGTGAGGACGTTTATTTCACTATCGAACGATACCAGCATATCGCACTTCTGACAGGATTACGCTACGGGAGAATTGGAACGAAAAAGGCAGACGACACCTTGAGATTCTCCATGGAGAGATTAATTTCTGCGGGAAAGACTACCTTTGACGCTTTCATTCAGCACATCTTGTGCAGGTCGATCAATTTGTTACTGGCGCTGTACTTGGTGTTCCCCAGAAGCTTGTTCAATGTGTGGCCAGCTTTCCTGTTCAGCAGATTCGTGAAAACTTTGAGGATCGATGAATATTTGACCTTGAGTCTCTTGGCGCACGTTAAACTTTAGGTTTTCCAACGTCTAATGAAGTAAATGGACTCGATGATCATGGCCCAAGTTCACCTCAGTATCGATAGATGTTCATAAGAGTGCGCTGCAAGGTTGAAAACAATTCTTGTGGAATATCTCTTGATGCAGAATCGGTAATTGTCGGGAGAATAAACGGAGCCAAAGACGCCAGAGCACGTTCTAGAAGTAAAAAGGTTGAAAACAATTCTTGTGGAATATCTCTTGATGCAGAATCGGTAATTGTCGGGAGAATAAACGGAGCCAAAGACGCCAGAGCACGTTCTAGAAGTAAAAAGCATCTCACTTCTGACCGATCTGTACCTGGCCAGATGATTGAACCCCCTTGGAATGATAAGAGGGTTAGGAAAAAATGATTCGGCTGTAACCTTTGTCTTTACAGAATATCGACGCTCGGTCATTCATGTCAGCTTGGTTAGCGTTTCCGATGTGACGGCACTATACTGTTGTGATCCGGAACACTTGAGGGCGCAGACTTTTGACGCATGCAGTTCGGGAAAGTCAAAGATCCTGAGTTGATTGTGCTAAAGTTCAGGGGGCAGTTGAAGTGTAGAATGGGTGGGAAACGACAGTGCCCCCATTGAAGCCTATCCAAAATTCTAAGGTTTGTGTTTCCTTGAGAGAAAAGCCGGTGAGATACTGGGATCTCGGCCTGGAGGAGGCTTTGGAGTTGATAAGGAAGGAGCTGAGCATGATTCTTGATCGGGAGGTGCTAACAACCGCGCTTGGGAAGTTCTCAAACATGAGAAAAATGACCTTAGGACTTACGACTCCCTCGTTAATCTTTTTCATACAAGCCAAGAGAGTAGTGGAGCAGCAGCAGCAGCAAATGGTGTTCACGGATAGCTGGGACCACTTGTTCATTGGTTTTTCTGCGGCAGCATACTTCCACTCGAGAAAAATAAAGGCCATTTCCTGGATGGACGAAGCGAGGATCATGAGGGTATCAATGCCAACAAGATGACACGCGAGTGAGTCCAGGAATATACTCGATAAGGCTGGACTGGAAAACATGGACACTGTGTATAAGGATGGCCGGTTCATAGAGGTGGAGGAGCCGGATCATAGTGAAGGACCTGAAATAAAAACAAGTTGTACAGCATCAGGAAACATCTAGTGTCTTACAGAAAGATGTAGAGCTTCAACATGAGGGGCAAAAATTTGATGCGGCCAACTAAATATACATCTCACGGAGTACAACAGACTAAATCAGATAAGGCTCTCCCCCGTGTCTGTCGATAACCCTGGAGAGAAGAGAAATCTCTTGGTGCAAATTCCATTTGAGGACGCTCTGAAGCGAGAGCGCGCGGAGGCTGTGGAGGGGGAAATCATGGATGAAAGGCTGCTGGCGGGTCCTACTGGTATGGTCACTACCAAGACCCATAGCCTCGTTACCACGAGGGAGCTTTGCAACTTTGAGTGATGAAGAGTGGGGCAATACGGCAACTCCACCCATGGGATTTCCCTGAAGATTTTGAAATCGCAGCTTGATAGCCACCAAACGTTCATGGACACGTTACACTTGAGCCACAAGAGTAAAAGAGGGCATAATATTTGAAGGAAACAATACGGCGTTTTTGAGGTCTCTAGTTCAATGAAGTTGGGAAAAATTTCTGCTAGAGCTCAATCGGAAGGTAGAGAGGAAGGTAGACGTCGAAATTTTCAAGCAGGAAATTTGGGACATAGTAGTGGATTTTGGAGAATTCAATCTGGTGGTGATTGGATCCCCTTGGAGAGATAAGAGGGTTAGGAAACAATGTATCGACAGTAACCTTCGTCTTAACAGAAGGTCGACGCTTGGTCATTCATGTCAGCTTGGTTGGCGTTTTTGACGTGACGGCACTAAGTTGTTGTGATCTGGAACACTTGAATGCGCAGACGTGAGACGCGGTGCAGTTCGGGAAAGTCAAAGATCCTGAGTTGATTGTGCTAAGGTTCAGGGGCAGTTTCCATTTAGAATGGATGGGAAACGACAAGGCCC